TAGGAGTGGGGTAGAGAAGAAAGGGAGATAGAATTTAGATTAGATTACTCTAAAGTTCTTTCATGTCTAAAAAAAGACTTTCTTTTACTGACTACCCATCATTTGGTCATATCAATCTCCCCCCACCCTTCCTCCCCACCGCTCACATACACGCACACAGTGTGTGTAATTCAAAATATGTTTGTATTTTGTTAGGCATGCCTTTTGTGAATGCAGTCTATATTAAAAGATAGAAATGGGAAAAGGAAGAAAGAATAATTTTTAGACTTTATCAGAAACGACAAATTGAATTTTCAAAAACTATTGCCTAGTCTCAAAATATTTTCAAGCAAGCACATTTTCAAAAGATAGCTGGTTGAATCAAAACATAGTGGTGAGAATTCTAAAGTATCAACCTAATCATCAATCCAACAAACATTCGAGTGTCTAATATTAGTCTATCACAATGTGAATGATAAAAGATGAGTACGACATCAGCAAAGAGAGACAAGGCTAGATACACACTGACAGTGCGAGGTTAAAAGAGCAGAACCAGAGAAATGGGAGAGGTATAAGGGGGGTGAGGCAGGCTGCACATTATTTTTGAGTGCTGGGAGAAAGGTGAAGGGAGTTATCACAGAAGGCTTGACACTTCTATTCAGTCTTAAAAGATGAATAGAACTTTTACCAAAAGTGAAGAATGAGGTGGGGGGCATCCACAGTAGAGGGTGTAGCCTATTCAAACATGGAGCTTTCCATGCTGGGTAACTCATTCTTTTTAAATTTACTTCCTTATTTGTGATATGGGGATAATAATATTTGTTATAATAAGGATCAAATGAGGTATTTTACAAGAAAGTACTTGTTGATGATGATGTCAACAGCTCTAATTTTCAAAGTGTTATTATTTTCTAATTTCTTATTTATGAAATCCATATACAATAACATGAAAACATAGCTATTCTAAGCTCCATTTTACAGATAAGAATACTGAGGATCATAGGGGAATAAATCTTTCTGAAAGTATGAAATAAAAGAACTGGGGTGTGAAACCTGTGCTCTATACACTATGTCTCTTGATTCAAAACTATAAAGTTTGGCACACATAAATGCATATGTATGATATACATGTATAGATGTGATATTATGTATACATACCAGAAATACATATATAAGAGAGAGAGGCTTTTCCCCTTATTCTGGGGATTTTTAAGTCACTTTCATGCCTCGTTTAACATTCAAGATTTTTGTCCTAAGAAATTAAGGGTTAACCTTTTTTTCTGGACAATTATCAAATTGTCTTGTGTATTACATATAGTATCCTAGCTACTTGAATCATTACTTTAACCTAGAATGTTATTTACCTTGTAACTAGACATCCAGTCTTACGTAAACTGCATCACCAGAGGACATTGAGTCTGTCACATTACTTCATTAGTTCAAAGCTTCCAGAATTGCCATGCCAAGGCGATGGCTATCAAAATGCTCCTCCCAGAAGATCTCCTTATTACAGCTTTAGGGTGTCTCCCCATTGTCTTTCAAAGAAATGTTCCCAGCAGCAGTTACAGCCATATTAATTAGACAATTTGCATAGTTCTATATTCAGTGTTAATACTTACAGCTGAGGAAATTCATAGTCTTTATAGTCACCTTAGTCAAATTCATAGTCACCTTAATTCATAGTCTTTTTTGAAGAGGATCTCTTACATGACATTTGCACCTCCTGGGTGACTATTAACCAGAAAATGGGAGATTCTTGGGCAAAAATGGACAGAAGACATTCAAAGTGATTATGTGAGTATTGTACAATACTTTTTTTTGACCAAGGTGGTATGTGTATTTTCTCACTGTTAATAGAAATGTGCTATAGATTCCAACTTAGTCCCTTATCAATGCTATATTTAATTCACGATAATATAAAAAATACAGAAAATAAAAGAACACAAGGATCCTTCTCTTTAATTGCTTTACTTAATATATATCTAGGCAAATATAGAAATGAAAGTATCAGTCAACTGACATCAATGACTGCTTCATAATAAAAGCCATTTCCTGGGAACTGTGAGTTAAAAATGCTGAATGTAGGTTAAGCAAAAATTCAACATATTGTAACACAGCTTAAGAAAACAGTCACATCTTTTTTGTGCCTGATTTTGAGCGATACATGAAGATACCATTTTTCCACATAGGCCTGTCCCTGTAAGAGGTTCTAGGCACAGGGGCAGCCCTTAGACTACACTGGAACTTCTCTAGTAGAACCTGATATTTTTATTAAGCTCCTGATAACCTCAGACCTTCTGACTCCTTACACAATGTTCCAGAATGATTTTGCCATTCTCTCCTAGTCCTTGTAAGGTATTTGAGCCTTTGTTTCTTCATTTGTCAAACTGGGCTAATCATACATACCTCTCACAGTTATTTTAAGGAGTGAGGATATATGTGTAAAGCATCTAATATACAACGTGGTTGGCTCACAGTAGGCATTTGGTAACTGTTAGTTTCCTTCTCAACTCGTGGATTTGGACCCCAGTGCAGAACCACATACACCAATTACCCAAGTTGTTCATATGGCAAGATGAAGCACAAGGCAACTAGGGTACCTAGGTCAAAATCCAGACAGGAGGGGCCTGTCATCATGTTTTCTGCCTATGATGTGTCATCTCAGGTGTGCTAAAAAACACTCACCAGCTCATAAACTCTCAGGGTCAACAGGATCGGAAGTGAGCCAATGTCTCATTGAGATCCATGCTTCTCATATTTTCAAGAAAGAATATTTATTCTGCTCAATCTCTGTCATTGTGCAATGAAGTAAGGATAAATTATCTTGACGATGTCATTCAGGAACATGCTCAAAAGCCCATTTGGGTATCAATGAAAATGTTTGATTTTAGATCAGAGGCTCTAAACATTAATTGCTGAACTCAAGGTAGAACTTCCTCCTCTTTACTTGGGAACAATCACAAGATTAGAAATGATAATTCAGTTCTAAAATTGTAGATTATTTAGAAATGTACCTAGTTTGGGGTATCTCAACCCTTTTACTTATGTTCTGTAAGCTAAAAACACTAGCACATTCATGTGTGAACTTTCTTAATTTAGTCCTGCTTTTCTATGAGACTTTGGTCATAGTTTCCCAGTACATAAAGTAAGAACATCAGTATCAAATATTTATAAAATTTAAAAGTAACCAAATGATTGTGTGTGTAGCAATTAAAATCTGCATGTGTTGGAGGCAGCGGGTGGCACTGAGGATGTCTATATATTTTCCAGTCATAAAGACATACAAATTCCAAAAATGACAATAATAAAATTCTTTTTTTGAAGGATAGTCATTCGGAAAAAAGCATTTCTAGGTAATCTTATGTTTGGAGGGAAAAAAAGCATTTCAGAAATAGCAGGTAGCCCTGTCTATTTTCTGTGTGCTTGGGAATAAAACTATTGTACTTGCATACCTGCAAAGAGTGTAGAGATTATGATATAGAACTTCAAACAGGAACTTTCTTAGTGGCAGAGAAATATCTAAACAAACTGGGAAAACAGAAACTGACCTAGCTCATTTGGAAATGGGCTTGGCAGCTGATGAAATAGGTGAACTATAATTAAGTAATGCAATAAAGGAGTTAAACACTTTCATGACAACAAAAACACACACGACATACACTACGTGGGTAGTAACCAGGTTATTCATAGGCTCTCGGCTGTCTCAAATTAGAGTATTCAATGAGTGTCCCAGAACAGACACTTGCATTGTCCAGATGCAACATTACAGGTGGGGGGGGGTGGGGGGGAAGAGCTCAGCCATTCTGACCTCTAGGTTAATTTCTAGCTCTGGGAAAACTGTGACCTTTCTAATTTTATTCTTTTCAGAGAGACTTCAAAACAAAGATAGCAAAGCCACATTATTTACTCAGAATCTTCTAGGAAGTCATCCTTAGCACAGTTTTGGTAGAAACCATAGGTCTAGTTTCCATTTACGTTCTTGAACTTGGACCAGTTCCACTGTGCATAGCATGAATTTCAATAGATCTCCCAAACCCTGAGATTAGGCGTGTGGAAATGATAATTTAACTGTCACATCCTGCACAAGTGGGTAGTTAGGTAAACTCGCCTCATTGCTACTACAGAAAGAATGTGAGACTGGCAAGTTTTATTTCCTTATTTAAATTTTCACATACAGCTCCAAATTCCACTTGAAGTTTAAGGAGTTAGGGAGAAGCAATTTTTTTTTCTTCCAAAACCAGGAAGGCTACATAAGGATTGTTTTTTCCTCCCCTTTCCACAAGCACTATATCACGTCAAATAGGAAGACAGGCATTAAAGTACACTCAGCGATTACAGGCTATAAGGTACAATGAGCAGCCAGTGAAAAGCGCCTGACCTGTCTCTCTCTACGCAGGCTGCTGGGGCAACCAGAAGCGGCAGGTGTTAGCGTCCAAAGGCCGCGAGGAGCGCGAGGACCCGGCCAGGTCCTTCCTGGTCCAGGTACGCAGGAACACCGTTTGAATTCCGTCGCGTCTGGAGCTCCGGCAAAGCTGGCTCCCCCGACGCCAGAGCCTCCAGAAGCTTAATCAGGCTTAGTTTAGAAAACGGAGGGCAAGACAGAAGGAAAAGCATTTCTTTCCAGACGGTCTCCTAAGCGCGGGTCTCAACTCTCTTCCCGCTCCTCCTCCCCTCCTCCCCCAACAAGAAAGAGCACAAGTAGAAATGTCTTTGGATTCCTAGAATGGCAAATTTACAAATGAAAATCCAAAAGCTTTTCAACTTTTTATTACACCTATCCATGCATAACACGGATACCAATCAATAGTTAATTTATCAGTGAAAAGCATTTTTAACGCCAATTTCCCTCTCCTCGACCTCACTCCATTCCATCTCCCGCTGAGGGAAAAACGAAGTCGCATATAAGAGACATCATTTTAAATGAGTACACTTTAGCCTGGTGAGAAACTCCAGTGTTAAGTGTCAAATGACAAATGAAACGCGGGCCGCATTAGCCTTCTCGGCGGCGGGCAGACGCTTACCCAGGCAGAGCAGCAGGGCGGGACCCTGGCGGGCGAGGTGCGGCTCCATCCTCCTCCCAGCGGAGAGCTTCGGCGGAGGCAGCGGGCTCTGCTGCTGGGCGGCTGCTGCGGGGAACCAGCGCAAGTGCCCGGCGGGAGCGGCGGGAGCGCGGCGGAGAGCCTGGAGGGCCGCACGTAGGCACGTCCCTCTGACACCCGGTTTCTCAGGCAAGTGAGCTCAACTGTCCCGCGATGCGACCTTTATAAGTCTGGGAAGGAGCCTCGGGCCTAAGGACTTAATAACGGGGTGAGGTACAAAGTGTCCAGAGTTTCATAATAGGCCCGGCGGGTGAAGTGGCAGGAGGAGTGTCCGGAGGACTGTCCCGATGTCATCTTCCCTGTCTAAACACCTGAGGTTGAGGAATGAAAAAATGCCTTTCTGGTTCGCCAAGGACTACTCCCCAAAGTTTTCCATCTCCCTCTCCAGCTCCTATGGGTGCAGGTGGGGAGCGTGGACCAAATTGGGTTGGTTTGCTTTGTGGGATCACCTGCCAGGTGGTGGTTTTAGTTGCTCTGGGTGACAGGCATAACTGAGTTAAAGTCAGTTTTCCCTCCAGCGCTGGCATTCCCAGTACATGCTTTTGGAAGTGTGCGTGTGTGTGTGTGTGTGTGAGAGAGAGAGTGTGTGTGTGTGTGTGTGTGTGTGAGAGAGAGAGAGAGAGAGAGAGCGAGCGCGCGCGCGAGAGAGAGAGAGAGAGAGAGAGAGAGAACTGGTGAGAACTGTCCATTATGTTCCCAAGAGTTTCAATGTGACTATGTAAATAGCTTGATATGTGTCCCTGGAACTGGCGAGACA